GGAAGGAAAAGAAAAGAAAAGAAAAGAAAAGAAAAGAAAAGAAAAGAAAAGAAAACAGACTGAGGATTGCATCTCACAGCTATTTTCTGGACTTGATGAGAAAGCAAATGCATCTCACCCCCTGAATTCCACCTACAAGCTTCTACCAATTCATGAAAATATAAGAGGAGTCTGCTGATCATAATGAAGGCCCATCTTGTCCAGCATCGTTTCTGAAAGCAGCCAGGCAGACACCTCTTGGAAGTCCAGAAGAAGGACAGGAGGACAAGAGCATCCTCTTGACTTGGCTCAGATATTTAAATGTATGTGCAAACCATACCCTTGCAAGCTAACTAGAACAATCAACAACACTTTGCAGAAAAAAATCAGCAGTCAACTGGTTTCTGACTTGTTCCTTAATTCTGGAAGTGGCACATTATGAAAAACTTGGGCAGCTTATCTTCTGTATTGCTTCTTTGGAAAAAAGAGATTTCCATAAAGAAATGCAAGCAGTGGCCAAGAAAATAATGAGATTTCGGCCACTCTCTCCTGGGATGTGTGCACACATCTTACTGTCTCGCTGTTGACTCAGAAAGTGGGAGCCCTTCAGGGCAAAGCATGAAAAAGTGGCCTGGGCCACTGTGAGCCTATAAGATGGCTGAGCAGTGGCATGGCTCAGAGGCAAGTGTTTTTCCTAGGCATCCTGCTTTCTCTGGGTGTAACTTTTAGCAGGGTACCCATTAGAAGCAGATGGAGACAGCAGCCATGAAACTAAAAGACGCCCGCTTCTTGGGAGGAAAGCGATGACAAACCTTGACAGCATCTTAAAAAGCAGAGACAGCACCTTGCCAACAAAAGTCCGAATAGTCAAAGCTATGGTTTGTCCTGTCGTGATGTATGGAAGTGAGAGCTGGACCATAAAGAAAAACTGACCGCTGAAGAACTGATGCCTTTGAATTGTGGTGCTGGAGGAGGCTCTTGAGAATCCCCTGGACTGCAAGGAGAACAAATCTATCAATTCTAAAGGAAATCAACCCTGAGTGCTCACTGGAAGGACAGATCCTGAAGCTGAGGCTCCCGTACTTTGGCCATCTCATGAGAAGAGAAGACGCCCTGGAAAAGACCTTGATGTTAGGAAAGTGTGACGGCAAGGGGAGAAGGGGACGACAGAGGATGAGATGGCTAGACAATGTCTGCGAAGCAACCAACATGAAATTGACACAACTCCGGGAGGCAGTGGAAGATAGGAGGGCCTGGTGTGCTCTGGTCCATGGGGTCACGAAGAGTCGGACACGACTAAATGACTAGACGACAACATTAGAAGCAATGCCAAATTGTGGAACAAGCCCACATTTAGCGATGGATTGAGAATCTGTCTGAGTTGAATCTTCTGCTGTTGGATTCCTTAAACAGAAAAAAGAGGTGGTGGAGACATTTGTCACATTTTAAACTTACCTGCCTGGGTTTAGAACAGATCTTCATTGCACTAGATATGTAGTGAGATGTAAACCTCCAGATGTCACTGGATTTCAACGCCCACCAGCTTCAACTAGCATAAGCCTATGGACAGGTATAACGAGACCTGGAGTTTACCATCAGGAGGGCCACATTTTACCCGACTCAGCTTTAGATCCTAAATGGTGACAGGGCCATGAGCCAGGACTTTAGAGATGCCTGCTGTGGCCTGCATGGTTGATACAGCTCAGAGCCTCACTTAGCTGCCCAGAGTTATCTAGGTGGGCTAGGGAGGTATTTCATGAATCTCGGCTGACCGGAAGAGTTGGCGTGTTGGGAAGATTCCTTTTTTCCACGTACCCTCTCAGAATCCTCAGGAAGTCACAACTAGGGTATTCTGGGCATTGCCATTCAAAAAAGCAACATTTCCAGGCTCTGTCATAAACAATGGCTTTCGTTGGGGCTGCTTCCTTGGATAAATTTCTCTAACCATCAACTACATTTTTTAAAACCCCACTGACCAATAATTATGCTTCCTTTCTGACAAACTAGGATGCTTATCAGGATGAATTTCATGAGCCGAAGATTTCAATCCCTATTTGCTCAATCAGTTTCATAACCAGGCAATTTCAAAACAATCCACTGTGTTTCATTGAAATCCAGAACACTTCACATCCATACGTAGCTAATCAAGGATTATCTTACTTACAGAAACAAGAAGCTAAATTCATTTCACTTTCATGAGGAGAATGGAGAAGGAGGTGTGTGGGGGGGGGGTTAAAGAGGAAAAAAAAAACCCTGAAACGAGCTGATGCATCATTAAGTAGCCTCTTAGACTGCAAAAAATCTTGCCAGTTCTCACTCCTAACACTGTGCTAAGAGACAGCTTAACCCAGCTTATTAAACCAAGAGGCTAATCAATAAGATGGATCATGTTGCCTTAATAATCCCTTCAGATCACATCTATTTTTGGAATCGACTAGCAGGGGCATTAGGAGCTGGAGATTATGCGGGGAAATATTTTGGGGAAGAGAATGGGACACACTGGGCTGGATGTAATGCAAATGTGGGCAAGGTTCTGGGGTGGCGGCGGGGTGTGTGTGTCCTTTACTGCAATCTCCCCTGCATCGCCAAGGGCTGACAGACACTTATTTCTAAATTTCAGCCCTGAGAAGTGCCTAATAAAAAGCTTGTCTTTCCACTCCTTTAAAAATAAATAAAGAACAGCCTTTCTCTCAGGTAGCGAGAAGGGTGGGAAACGCAGCCTGCCGATTCTAAAGGAGATGGGAAATGCAGAGCACAGTGTCTCAAAGGAACAGAAACAGACACAGTAAAGCAGAAAATTTTTCAGCTTGGGTTGTAAAGGAACTTCACCAGGAGCCAGTATACACATGCATGAACGCCGCTGGATGACTGAATCCTTGGTGATTCACAGCTGGAATCGCAAAGTGTTTCCTCTTTAAAAAATACTATGAGGTGATATGAGGCAAGATGGATAACCTGCCCTCTGTCGTGTTTTCCCCCCTTCCCTTTGCTGCTGATGCAGTCATTAAACAATGAAAATGTCTGTATGAGCCATAATTCAAGATAGAACCCTCCCAGGATACAATATACAAACTGTTGTGTCACTGCTGAGTTATTCTTTACTTCAGCACCTCTCCTGGGTGTGGGCTGGGTTTGGAAACGCTACTTCCAGGACTGCAACTCCCCAGGCCCCTTAGCTAGCATAACTGGAGCATTACCTAGCTCCAGTATGGGAAGATAGAACAATATGTGGCAGGATCGGCAAAGTACTGTAAACAGTGGAGAGTATCTCTTTGCTAGTCTTTCTGACAAGGCTCAGAGTCCCAGGGACTAATCACTGGCTGCAGAAAGGCCAGTACTTCTCAATCCTGGACCAGTTCCATTTTGCTTTTAAAAAATCTGGACAGATCAAGGCTTTTGACAATGAAAAAAACACCATGTTGTACCTCAAGAGAACCTTCCTTGGCATCACCAAGATCTGAAGCCCCAGAGACAAGGAACAGAAAGAGATCGAGCGTCTTAAAACATAGCATGTGAGATGCAGAGGTAGGATCCTACAGGGCATCTATGCAGATTCTGACCCTCAATCTAAGACACAGTTCAATTTTCAGAGTGAAACTGACACGAAGACATACACAGCTAGCCAGAGAGACTCAAAACAGTTTCCTACAGCTTGGGTCGTTGGGCACAAGGTATGATAGTACCGGAGGGAGAGGACAAAGCTTCTCTGCCTATACTTCTCCCTGCAAGTCCTATTGACAACCCTGGTGCCAGAAGCTCCCCGCGCATTGCCCAAAATCCCCCACTGCTCCAAGACAAAGAAGAATGGTCAGGTGCTGCCACCTACTGTGTACCTGCCAGACTGGAGGCCTCTGCAGCCTCTTGGCAGCATCCTGAAAAGTCTCAGGGAGTTGGTACTGCTGCAGTTGATGCACGAGTCCAGGGCACTGCAGCTCAGGCCACGGATGAGCCGGGAGGCCAGCACAGGACTCTCTCTTTCTCTCTCTGTTGAACTGTAGCTGGCCCAGAGTTTTTGTGCACTGACAACTGGGAGAAGGAGATAGCTTAGTTTGGTTGGGGGGGGCGGGCAAGTGTATAGCACCCTTCTCATTGTCAAGGGTAGTGGAATGCAGCCCACCAGCCACTGGAGAGGGAAGGACCAGCGTGAATAGCCATGGCTAATGGTGAGAGATCATATGGAGGTTGCTTTCAACAACAGCTGGAAGGCCACAGATTCCCATTTCTTATTGTTTGTGCCTATGAAGAAGCAGATCCCACTGAATTCAACAGGCACTATTCCTAGATGAGCAGGTAGGGGACGGTAGCCTTAACCTACTCTTTGATCCTTGCTTTAGGATCTGCTGACACACACATTTACGAAACATGTACTATCTTTATTATGTGCACGGGTATCACCTTGGTGTCTCAAGGTTGTGTCACTGTGCCGCTGTTTTAACACAGGCAGAGATTTGAACCCATGTCACCTGAACCCAACACTCTGTCTGCTACACCACTCTTGATGCATCTTTTCTCCAAGAAGTTCAACATGGCACACAGGGCTTTTCTCCTCACCATGTCAATCAGACATCAACTCTACCAAGGCTAAGTGGGAGTCACAGGCCAAAGGACTCCCAGTGAATTGAGGGGGGAGGTGGGTCTGGATTGTCCCAGCCCAGCACTTTATAATCACCACACCACATGGCTTTCTGACCATAATGGAGGTCTTCCTTTGAATACTGGGGTGGCCTTTCGCACGGTAGATGCTGTCCAGTTCAACATCTTCAGCACAGACTAAATTAAGCACCTGTCTTGTTCATCACATCCTTCACTTGGGAAATTCCTTATGCACAGATGTGGTAAAGGCCAAGAGAGAGGGAAAGAGGTTTAGACAAACGCAAAGGAGAAAGATGCATCAGTGGCTATCAGCCGAGATACGTAAATGCAAACCTCCAATGACGGAGGTGATGTAACTTCAGAATACTAAACGCTGGGTACAAACAAAGGATGATGGCCATTGCCTTCAAGCCATGCTTATGACCTCCCAAAGGCATCCAGGCTGAACGCTACTGGAGAGATTCTACTGTGCCAGATGAAGCCCAGAGTGACCCAGCCAGGAAGACCTTATGATCAGCCAGTTCCTCCTTGGAAGAGAATAGGGATCCTGGGCTGCGTCAAGCTAACTCTACAGAAAGGAGGGTTAGCTGCTCACACCTGGCGGATGGGCTCGGGGATCCGATACTTGCAGCAGGAGCGGACCAGGCGCACGGCCGAGGGGAGACTCATCTTGTGGCCCACTGAGATGTAGACAGGCTTGGTGCTCTTGGCACAGCTGCGCAAGGCCTGGCCAGGTAAAAAAAAAAACAGAGACAACGTAAGTTCTGGGAATGCAAAGCAAACAGGAACACGGGGGTGCAGGTTTAAGGAGAGGTGTTGCAGAGCCAAGGCCTGCAGGTCTGAAGTGCCAGGGCTTTTCGTTGAGCGGGAACAAGGAAGCCCCTCTTTCCTCTAGTTTTAGCTGCAGTCCTCCGAGAAGTTGGTGGTGAGGTTGGGGATATCTGTTGTGAGCTATTTCTCTTATAAAGCCAATTATCTTGGGATATCTTGGTCTTAATGGGCAATTAATTGCTTCTGAATTAGCAATAGACCAAAGATTTCTTATGCTGCTAGAATTAGTGGGTTGAGTTTTTCCAGGGTTCTCCTTGAAGCTGTGGCTACTGGGGGCGGTCATGGTGAGCATCTTCCCTTCAAAATCTACCTCTGAATCTAAAGAGGCTGATGATGGCTTTCCTTGTATGACTCCCTACAGGGCAGCAATATCACAAGTGCATGCACACAGACAAGCTCATTATTTAACCAGGAGGTGAAAACTTTACTGCTTTTGCTCTCATTTGTTCCCTGCCGTACAATAAAGGAAGGGGTGAAGTGCCAGCTGGCCAGGAGAAAAGAAGGTTTCATTCTGAAGTGGAGGGAATTTTCTTTCAGATCTGCAGGTGGCCCAAGGGCTGCCCGTCGAAGGGGGCAGGGCTAAATTGCCACATCCGCATACTTCATCTTTTTTCCCAACACATTGGTTATGTACTATAAAGATTGCTACAATGTACTTTTGTCAATTGAAAAAGTAAGCTTAAGTAACTTTCCAGGCTTGGAGGTGGGGGGCAGAAAAACACATGTAATTTTTTTCCAGTTGTGGGCTGTCTGTCACCCATGATGCGGAAAATGCTTTTTCTGCAAAGCAAAACCCAGTTTTCAGGGCTCCCTGGCTAAAATCCTCTGGAGTTGGTTATGCAGATATAATTCAGAATTACACCCATGGGCAGCTCTGCCATTGCCCCAAGGTGGCAACACTTCCACCAGCACCTTCTACAAAGGACTTAGGCAGGGATTGTTGCTGTGGCAGAATGCCTGGCACATCTGGGCAGAGGTACTGTTATCATGCACCTTAACAAACAGTATTCCAGCCACTGTTGCCAAACTCAGCCTTAAGTAGACACGGGAAGGTGACACTTTGCTTTCCAGAGGTTTTGGACCAGAGAACGCTGCCTCATCCATGATGCAGACTAGAGAATAGAGGTATTCGTGTTCATGTATGAATACAAATATCCCCACGCAGCTGGTCTTAATGAGGGTCCGGTCTCTGGTGCTGGACCATCCACTCATATGTCCAGCAGTGGCGGTAGCCTCGTTCATCTTTCCAATCACTCCCGGAGCTGCTCTCTCCCCACTCAGCTGGCCACTCCAGGCAGGGGGCGGGAGGACGGGTGTCCCTGCACAGCTGCTGAGTGGTCAGTTGACCGGAAAGAGAGTGGCGCTCTGGGAGCGATTGGAAGGATGAGTGAAGCTGCCGGTGCCACCAGATGCATGAGTGGACAGTCTGGCCCCAGGGGCTGTACGATGATATTTGTACTGCTGTGCGGGGATATTTGTACTGGTATACAAATACAAATACCCCCATCTCTAATGCAAACCAATGGGGGTCTAATCCCTAGCAGTCGGTGGCAGCAGCTTATTGCTTCCTACTCTTCCCCCCCTTGCCCCGGTACTTACCATACCCAGGATTCTCCCTGAACTACTTGGTAGAGGGAAAGAATCTCCATCCTGGAGGTCTTGGATCTGGGTTACAAAAAAGGAGATCAGAGCAAAGATGCATCAGGATGGATGAAGGTACTTGAACCAACTCAAGGTAACTTGCTATAGCTCCTCTTTCCAGACGAGCCTGGGAATCGCACAACTCAAAAACTTCCTTTGCTATTGTCACTTCTGTCCCACAATTATGTCCACACTTCTGTCCATAAGGAGCTTGCAACTGGAGTAGCCCGGATGCAGTTCACTTTTATGGGTATCATTCCATATAAGAAGGAAAGCCTTTCCTTTTATAGCTACGTGATATATTGTGCTCTTGACATGTATAAAGCACACACATGCCTGTCAAAATCAGTCATGGTTCCCTGACACTTCTGAGTGTGTGTGAGTGTGGAGGGGCTGTGTACGTTGGTCGCTACATCATTCAGTACACGGTACTCATTTTAAACAGATCATTGTTATTGGGGGCGGTGGGGGAACACACTGGCTTTGCAACACAAACGCAAGCAAAACAGCACCTTTTCTGATTCTGACAAGATTCCCTACCGAGAACACTGCAGGTCACCGCTACCCTATTATAGGATTCAGAGTGTGAAATCAGATCCCAGACGTACTTGCTCCTTGTGCAACTCATCGCTGGCAAGACCATCCACCTGCAGGAGATTTTTGGCTACACCAATGCAAGGCAAGCCTGTCAGCACACCAAGATGACATGCCATGCCAAACCCTATCAAAGGAAAAGAAGAAAGAGAATTAGAAGACAAAATGAGCCTGTGTACAAGGACGTCCTAGCCGCCACAGGTAAGATGAAATATGATGGGAAAGGCAAGGTTCTCCTAACTTCAGGTATCTTAAGTGAGAAGCAGAGCTGGTGTCAAGAATCACCACCACAGGACACCTATTAAGGTCCACATGCCTGAAAGGGGTGCACTAATGAGATTCCTTCTGCTGATGCTCTGTTTTTCCTCCCAAATGCTGCCTGTCTATATATGCTCTCCTCAAGGAATGATGAGAGTGAGGAGATGGAACATCACCCTCATTTGTCTTGTTTCCGCCCCTCTCTCAAGTGAGAGTAGAACTGGGCCCAGAGGGTGAAGGCCAATAAACAGGGAGGAGGAAGAAGGAGGTGAGGCCTGCTCAGAGAGGTGTGCCCTCTGAGGGGCATCTTGCTCCATGGCCCTGCCTAACATGGAGGTGGCGCTGTTGAAGGGGATGATAGTGGTTCCACAACTCTCAGAAGCCCTGTCCACTGGTTGGACCAGCTAGGCCTCCTGAGAGCTACAGTCTAAAAATATCTGGGCCCCTAGTTTCGGAAACCTCTGGGACAGGCAGTCAGGTGGTTGCTCCCCAGGACTATCAACGAAGCCAAGAGGAAAAGAAAATCTGAGAGTTACTAGATAATGGATTGGCCAGGAGTCTTACCTCTGTGATGGAGTATGCCGTTTCCATCTACAAGAAGCACCTAGGAAAATCACAGAGAGACGCATCAGTCACTGGCGATAAATGGGGGTGGGCTTCTGTGAGGATGGAGTATTTCTGCATGTATTCTCAGGCGTGCCAGCAGTTCTGTATACAGAAAGATGAAAAACTGTTCCCCCTTTTCTCCACTGCCAAGAGAGCTGAGAGAGATAAGAGGCCTCAGTCACTGAAGGACAGCCTTGAGCCTGACAAAAAGGGGGTGATCCATTTGCACTCCTTGCAGATCAGCTCTATGACAAAAGGGATATATGTCAGGGGTCTGGTTCACACTCTTACTGGGGAACATCTCCCTCTCTCTGTTCTCAGTTATGAGGCAGAACCTGCCATTCTGCACAAGCGCTTATTCTGCAGGACGTATAACTTTTATTTTCACTTATTTCCTTATTTTTTAACTAAATAATTTTTTTCCTTTCTTTTTGAACTGAAGTTGCTTTTCTAATGTTGCTTTTAAATTCTTCTGTTGTGAGCTGCCTTGTGAAACGCCACAGCCTTAAAAAAGATATACAGATACAAAATAAATTCAGTACTTGAGAAGATAGATAGAAGATGATGACAGAAGCATTCAGCTCTTGTGTAATCATTCAAATCTAGGAAAGCTTTTTAAAATAACGATGATAATGATGATAATTCAACAAGTTGAAACTACAAGAATTTTAATTTTTTTTTTAAGAAATGTTAAAATGGCCTGAATTGAGGCAACTTGACTAACTGACATGGTAGATGGCACATCTCAGTTATACAGTTGGGTGTGTGACCGAGAGGTGACATCACACCTTCTCAATTAGTTGCAATTAGTCATGGGAAATTTCACAAACCTCATGCAAGCCAACAGCATTCTGTCTGATAACAATTTCCCAGTATAAAAAAAAATTAAAACCAACTTTTAAACAAAAAAAAAGCACTTCAGAGAAATTAAAAGCAACAGACCAAGAAAGAGAGGCATAAGCTTTTACTTAACAGTATTTAAAACTTATTTATATATTTATCTAAATATTACTTATTTAAGCATGCATTGATTTATGCATATATGCTCTTGGGAATGCCCTCAAATGTGTCATCTTTCCACAGATGTCCTGTTGGGCTTGCAGGCAGTCTAAAGACTCCTGTAAAGTATTCCCTGGGGATGGGCACAGATGATCTAGAAGAGATGGACGGATCTTCCTCAGCACGGAAAGGAAAGAACTGCTATGGAGCAGAACTTCCATTCAGAGTGTGTGGGACTGAGAAGATCAATGGCTGGAGAGCAGAAGCAGGAAAAACCAAGGCTGTAACTCCTATTGGTCCGAACCAACAACATCTGCAGGGCCACATGTTCTTCATCCTTGAGGAGCTTGGCAACATGACTATTTTGGGGGCTCTTACTCCCAGAATAGTTCTGCGCTGTGCTGTAGTTTGAAAAAGCTCTCAAGTTCTCATCCTTGGGATGGAAGACACTGAGATATGTTCTCTTACATTCTTCTATAAAGGGAAAAACTGCACACCTGAGGCTTATGAGCAGGGTTGCGTTCCTCCAGCCGCTGCAGTGCCTCCACCAGAAAAGGGACCTCCCTGAATGCCAGGAAACCTGCCACATAAGGGGCACCCACAGACACCATGCAGCAGTCTTCATACAGCACCTGACAACGAGGAAAAAATGCATAATGGATTTTAACAAAATTGGCAGCACAATCCCTTCTCTCCCAGGAGGGAAGAGCTACCTTTGCAAGGCTATCCAGACTATTCCTAAGGAATCATCACATTTTTTTCCTTTATCTGCCAAGAGGCTCTTTGAGATCTGCCTCATTCTGCCAGTCTCAAAGCCTAACTCATGCCAGTTCAAATTGTCCAATCAACCTTGACATTCTGTAAATGTTTTTGGCAGGGAAAAAAACCCAAGGTCAGACATATTTTTGATTGACCAAATACAGCAGACAAGGGAGCCTATTTTTGTTTTTCAGCAACTACAGCGGTATTAGAAACCAACCATTTTTCAGATCCTAAAATGTTTCAGCTTTGATTTCCGAAAACAATGAATGCCAAACAAAAGTTGCATTCATTGGCAGAATGTTAAATAAAAATAAATGCTTGCAAGAGGTAAAAACAAAATACCTTCAGACTTTGCGACGTCTGCCAGCTAACTCTGTTTGGAAAGCAATCAGAAATCCCATGAGGGGAAAAAAAACCCTCTCTGGGGATGCTAGTAGTTTAGCTTTCGGAATAGCTAGGAACATTATCGTTGTCACTGTAGTTATCATTATCAGTCTTGCTATGCGTTATGTGCTGATTCTATGTTATAGTGACCCTAGTAGGGGTTCTTAGGTGTCACATTTAAGTAGTGGTTTTACCAGGGCCACCCCCTACTGAGTTTCCATGGCATGGCTGAGTGGGGATCTGAATACAATTCTTCTGATCTGTAGCCTCACATTCTACTCGCTACATTACATCAGCTCTCATTATTAGTCTAGGTGGTGTAGTATCTCTATTGGATAATTCAGAAAAGTCCCCAGAACCCTTCATCAGGTGTAGATGTTATTAAAGTTGAGGAGGGGTGGGTGGGAAGATGAAAACAGTCCCCAGAGTTCAAGCCTCTGGCTGTAATCAGCACACCTTGCCTTTGGATGAAGGTGGCTGGCAAATTTCAGATCCAGTGCAAAGGAAGTTATTAATCTATCAGTTTACAGTCTGCTTGCTCCCTGTAGACAAAAGCGTACTTAAGCCCCCAAAGATCCCGATTGTCTCGGCAAGAGAAATGTGGCCCCCTCTTTTTGGTTTAGGAGCTGAAATTCGGGAACGACAGCATAAGATTTATAAACGAAGCAGGAGGTTGAACTGAGTTGTCCCGTTCAGCTAAAATTTCAGCTGGAAGCCCGATTTGTAGGTGGATGTGATGGAATGATCACTGCAGTGCAATCTTACAGAAGGATGTCTTTCTCCAGCAGAGGACCCTACCCCAGGCAGATGATCGTGGCATTTCAAGCAGGAAAATGTAAATAGAAAATAATCAAAGTGATTGTGTCATGTGTGTGCAGAAACAAAGGTCATACATACTACAAAGCAGGATTATCAATTTCTCCAAAAAGGAGGGCCTGAGTCACTCCCCAAGACAACAAAAGATCCACAGAGGAGCTCAGATAGGCATTGGGCAAATGGAGGGAACAAGATAGCAAGCATTTTGCCAGATTTCTTTGGATTTTTGCTTGTTCCCCAGTCCATCAAATTATATAATCTCCACACATGATGAAACGTTCTGCAGAATTTGAAAGCTCGCCTTGTTTGTTGCTTTTTAGTGATCCAGTACAGGTACTCTTTGTCATTTTTCCACCTCTGCTAGAGACTGGACATCATTGTAGCTCTCTTGATTTTCAACCAACAGGATCTTCTCCTTCCTGCAGCTCTTTTTCCATTTCTTCTACCCTGAGTGAGGAGCCTGAGTAAGTCTGTGACAAGATTATTGTGGCTTTTTGCATTGTACGTGTTTAGGACTTCTTTGTCTTTACTCACTCACTTTGTACTTCTTCATTAGTCACCATCTTGATTCTAAGCATCCTGAGAGAACTCTACATTTTAAATGCTTTTTTTTAAAAATAGTGGTCTACAATTCTATGGCATACAGTAAAATGGAAAAATATGTGTGACATACAACATGCATTCTCAAAGTCCATTTTGTATTATATTCCTCATCTTAAGGAAGCTGCTCTGGCCTACCTCTAGTCTGACTTTTATTGCATGGCTATAATCCAATAGTTCACTCAATCAAATGCCAAAGTCCTTATATCTGCCAACCTGCTCATTTTGTAACAAAGGTCCTCCTTAGCCCCCAAATGGCTGCTCCTATACATCTACTTTGATTTTTTTTAATTATCATGCTGGTTCTTGTGATTTCTAATAATTTCTACCAAGTGCACATTTGACATCATCTTGTGCAGGGCGGGGCGACTTGTAGTGATAAATTCATTATTAATTAAAAAACATGTTGTACACAGAATTCGAGGCAAATTAAGGGAGGAAATCGTAACTTCCATTTTGTACAAACGGCGAGACAAGTTAAAAAGGCAAAGGGGACATAACAATGGTACATGCTCTGGACTTTAGGGAGTGTTTCTTGGTGCTGGGCAATCTCAAGGAATACAAAAGGACTCTTCTACAACAACACTTAGGACAGGAAATACCCAAGCAATTCTATTCTTCTGTAAACTCGGCAAGAATCCTAAATCTCATCTTCCTCCCTGACTTCTCCTTAAAATCTTACCAAAACCCCCCATGCTTACTAGGGAAACAAACATCACAGCGGCTGCAGACATCAAGTCAAAGTGATCTAGGCAGCAAAATCTAATAAATAAGTAAGTAAGTAAGTAAGTAAGTAAGTAAGTAAGTAAGTAAGTAAGTAAGTAAGTAAGTAAGTAAGTAAGTAAGTAAAGTAAAGTAAAGTAAAGTAAAGTAAAGTAAAGCTGTCGGGATGTTTGGCTTCTACTTTCCATGCTAACCCATCAGTGCTCCAGGATTCCATGTTCTATCATCAATGCTTTTCAAGAGAAAGTGCCCCGGTTCTGTGGCGATTACCTCAAGGTTTGGGTAGCTGAGCACCACCAGTGAAGCACAGGCGCTTGTGTCGTCTCCTTTGACATAAGACAGGTCCACCCCTCCGACTCTTTCCAGGCCAGCAAAGGAGGGGCTGCTCTGCCATTCCTGCGTGTCTTGTTCAATCACGTTTGCCTTCAGCTCGGCTTGTTCACTACAGAACATAACAGAATTAGGCAGAATCTCTTCATTTCCAACACCACAAGGCTAGAGACAAACTGCAGTTCTTTTCAGAGCATTAGGGGCAATATGATATTCATCCCTCCTAGTCAGCAGTTTTTTTTCACAAACCTGCACAATCTCTTTAACTAGATATGAGTGAGAGTGGGATAAAATTGTGCAAGGAAATCAAAAGCAAAAAACGTTTCTAACCGCCTGTGTTTCATATAACTGTCAAAAATCCCAATACTTGCTTCCGGGGTAATACATATAAAACCTTTGTCAGGCCAGAAAGTTTACAAATTAAATCATGTTGTTTCTTTCAATAGCTGTTATTTTCCACAAATACAAAAGTATGTCCTCCAAACTGAAATAAGGACATTGTCAAATGATTCATGTTGGGGCAGGGGTGGTTGTTTGTTTTTTTGTTACTCTACTCCTTGTGAATTTCTGCTGTTTTCAAGCCTTCTCTCACACTGTCTTATTGGCTCTACAAAGTCTTGCTCATTTATTCTGATTAGACTTTGCAGATAGTAGGGGATGATGCTAGTTTCAGGTTCTAGATAACTTGAGTAGATTGTGCCACATAATGCTAATCCACACAGTGCTCCAAGAACAACAAGAGAATGAACATTTGGTAAAATATGGGATGAAACACAAGTTGCAAAGTTTTAGTCATAACCTTTCACTTAGGCTATGTACAGCATGAGGCACAAGCAGAGCAATTCTGTCATTTCTCTTCCAGTAAGATCTGTTGGAATAGCACTTACTTCTGAGTAGACATGTGTAGAATCACACTGCAGGAGAGGATTATTTATAATACAGCAAAGATAAATGGAGGCTGCAATCCTAAACGAACTTAGGGCCCAATACATGGCATTGGCCAGCCCTGCCAAGAGGGAGCCATCTCAGCCAGCAGATTCTTAGTTAATGTGTTAAACAATATGTGCTGTCATTATTATGTTGTTCTTGCAATTTTACTGCCAGAGATCAGGAGAGGAGCCTCCTATTTTCTGCCTCCTATGCCAGAAAAAATGTTAATTGACTTTGAGCACTGGGCAGCTACAGATCTAGGGGTTGCAAGTTCAGTTGTCCACTGTGCCTCCTGCAAGTAGAGCCAGCCTGTGTGGCCTTGGGCAAGCTGCACAATCCCAGGGTTCCCCCAGAAGAAGGGAAGGGTAAACCGCTTCTGAGTACTTTCTACCTGGAAACCCTAAAAAGGGTCACCACAGGTCATGGTCAGGGAGACTGAGAAGTGAAGAATTGACTTGATGATGATGATTAAATAGTACTATGTACCTTGACTTGGACGGGGGTCTGAGGGCATTGCCATTCAGCTTCAGTCAAGACAATGCCTTGGGCCTGCCCTTCCTCAATACCTACTTAGCTATTACTGCACTTGCATCCCACTTCCTCCAGCAGGAATACGTGGCTCTCCTTTCCCCTAACTATCTTCTCTAACCACGAGGTAGAGCCTAAAGCAGGGGTGGGCAATTAATTTCTATGGGGGGGGGGGCACATGAAAAATCTGAACTGGGTTTGGGGGCTGAACCAACTTTACTTAAAAATAACATGAAACAGTGATGCTATGATTGTTTTTATTTTAAACTTGTCAATCGTCACAAACACTAAAGAGGTTTTTTGCAGTATGTTAAAGAGAAGCAACTGATCAACTTTAGACAAAAAGCTATAAATGGAATAGGAGGGGTCGCTTAGCTGCTGCTACACCTTCTTTCTTGAGGCAAGAGAGGAACGGGAGTGAATTGCGAACTGTAAAAACGCACAATCCCTGAACTGCAACAGCCTTGCCCGAAGTTAACGATGTGAGGAAAAAAGGCGAGAAATCAGAAGTGCCGACCTCCTGCCTGGGAGGATGATGCAGGTCAGAGGAAAAAGGGGGCGCACGGAAGTGGAGCCACACGGGGAACAGCCTCGTGCAGCGTACAGTAACTTTTCACAAGCGCGGCGTGCCTGCACGATCCCATTCGAGCCTGGTTGCCAAAAGTGAACTGCCAACATTTGGCCTGGGGTTATTCCTCCCCCCCTCCCGGCCCCCCCGAGTTCTGTTGGCCATTAACTCTCCCTGAACGGCTGG